TCGGCTGCCAATAGGTCGATGGGACATATGCCGACGATAACATCAAGGCCGCCATGCGGTATACTTTGGCCACTTAAGGGTTACCGCCATGATAAGCTTCCTTTTCTCTTGAGTTGAACATCCTATGTTAGCCATTAGTCTACTAAGCTGAGAAGTGACTTTGGAGGCTTTAACTGTGGCATGCTGGATTTGCGCCTAGTAGCTCAGTCCAGGGTCTAGTCTTACATCCAGATAGTTGACAACTCTTCTTGACCTCAGCGTACCCGCGAGTGTGTGCATGTCTATTGCCAAAGGTGTTTGTTTCATCGTTAATACAATAGTAGCAATTCGGTTTTTCTGTTGCGAGTTTGAGACCGCGTTGGTCAAGCCACATTTTCGTTCTTATCATTACTTGATTTAATTTCCTGCGTGCGTCTTCCGTATCGCCCGTACCCACAAAAGTGAGGTTAAGTAAAGGGACGTCACTCACTTTCCATTCATCATGATCCAAACTTTAGCAAGGAAAAAAATCCTTCGAAATTAAGACTTGGGTCGAACATTATACCCTGTTCAATATAAAACATAATTACATTATTATATCGAGTGTGATTTTAATTAAATAATTGCTACGCATTACATTTTTAATAAGCAAATTTTGCAAAATTCTTAAAGCTGATATTCAAGCCTATGAAATGGAAAATAACTGGGTGGTCGTCACGTCGTATCCCCTTCCTCTACACATCTCTCCACTCTTCCATAATATAAAAAATTAAAAAATGAAATTTTTGCAAGTGCAGTATTATAATTGGCAGAAATATGAGTTGCCGCGACTTGACGAATCATCAAATTAAGTGCAATGAAGCAGGAAATACGTATACTCGCATGCGCACACATACATATATACAGACATGTGTACATTTATTTTGCACATTCACATTTGTTAAGACCCTTTTTCAATTTATTTGACCGAGTCTAGTGGACGAGTTGTAGTTGTTTTTACTGATCGTTCCTTTTGTTCTTACACATTTCTGCCTTCAAATGTAGATGAGTATTGTATTGACGTGCATACTAATAATACTTTCTTTTTGTGTTTGTGCAAAATATATTAATTTGTTTGTTTACTTCTTTGTGCGTGACTTTTGTTGATAAACAAAATTTCACTGATTTTTCTAAGTAGAATGAACTCGAGTCGAATCGCCAGTGAGGCGCTCAGATTGACTAGAAATGTGTATACATGTGTGTTAAGAGTTTAGTTAATATTAAAAAATATCATAAAATAAAAAAGAAAGAAAAAAATAAAAAAATAAAATAACATAAAATAAAATGAAATCAAATAAAATAAAATAAAATAAAATAAAATAAAATAAAATAAAATAAAATAAAAGAAGATAAAATAAAATAAAATAAAATAAAATAAAATAAAAAAAATAAAATAAAATAAAATAATATACAATAAATCGAAATAAAAGCAATAAAATAATTAATGAAATAATATAAAATAAAAAAGATAAGGTACAAAATGTAATATATAGGAAATTATATTTTAATATATAATATATAATTTTTCCTACACAGTTGGCCTCATGAGAACCACCAGTTTTAATAAGCATCCATTTGTATTAGCACTTCTTTAGTGTTTTGTTTTTAAACCATTTAACTCTCATGCTTTTTGTTATGCCAATTCATTTATTAAAATCATGTCGCCAACTTGTTGACATGCAAATGTGAATATTTCTTCATTCCACTTGCACATTTTTGCGTTAATCTTAAGTGCCGCACACTGTAGTTGCGCTTGTAAAATTGAGTAATACCACAAGTGTGCAGTGGCATGATTGTTGTGATTGCAATTTGTCATGTGTGCGTTAGTATGTGTAAGTGCAAAGCGGGGAGCAAAAGTGATTCCACGATCAACGTTCATGTTTGAGCTCACATAAATATAAAACGAATAATGTAAATGACAAAAACTTTTTTTAGCGCTTGGTAGGATTGGGTAGAGAAAAATGTTAAGGGCCGAACACAAGAACTGGACAATAGAAGACTGGAAACGTGTTATTTGGCCGGACGAATCTAAGTTGAATCGTTTTCAATGGGATGGAAAGCAAGACTATTGTCGGAGACTTGGTGACGGGCATCAAAGGTATCATGTGAAGCAAGCCGTGAAACATGGAGGCGGCAACATAATGGCACGGGGTGTTTCACGTATTCGCACGTTGGATCGTTGCACAAAATTGACATTTTGAAAACCCATCTTCCCAATTTTCTTGACCAGTGTACGTACCCAAAGCAGGAAATCACTTTTCAGCAAGATGGAGATCCCAAGCACCCTGCGAAAATTGTTAAACCTTGGCTCGGAAACAAACATTTTTAGTTGTGGGAGTGGCCAGCGCAAAGTCCCGACCTCAATCCGACTGAAAATCTATGGTCAAATCGACAGCTTGAAAAGTAGCAATCAGCACCATCCAAATTGGACGATCTCTGGAGAGGTGTTGAACAAGGGTGGGAAAATACTCCGAAAGGACCAAATATTAATAATGAGTTTATTTTGTATTTTTTCTTAAATGATGCAAAACTGAGTACATGCCGCTTGTTTTCGTTTTTGAATCATTACTATTTTATAGCTTCTGCTATTACTTTATTTCTTATTTATTATAAAATATTGTACTATTAAAAAAATTTAAAAATTTTATCCTTTACTTCGTTCATTTAGTTTTTATGTGCTCCCAAATATGAAAACATTGATCGTGGAATCACTTTTGCTCCACACTCTATGTATATTCAATAATAACAAAAAAAAAATTAAAATTTTAAAAATTGGTTTGGGAACCACTGAAATGTGTAATATGAGAACAGGTATTTAGGTGCAGCATACATATATACCATACATTAGATATTGTTAAAATTCTTACAAAAAATTATTTATTGCATACATATCTTGTGAATTGTGCTTTGGGATACTTGTATTATATATAAGCATAAAACATATTTACTTACAAATATTTATGTACTAGAGTTTATTTGAATGGAAGTGGTTAGCTCCATCGCCATCTCGCTCCAATATAAACAAATCTAGTTAAATATTTTTTTTTTTAAAGAATATTCAATTTTGTTAATCGCATAAGATTATGTATATATGTGTATGTACATATGCACATACGCTTGGCCTAGTAAAGCTTATTTCTATTTTATCCAAGTTAATGTTATATTATAGATTTATATTGAAATTTTTAACTATTGCATATTGTAGCCGCACCTTAAAAACTTTAGTCGTACTACGAGTTGTTGTTGGAGAATTCCATATATCTTCGGCCAATATAATGGAAATAGTTCTCATTTAAAACTTTTTAACTGTATTATTTCTAAAAAAATATATAGAAATCAGTAAAATAAACTAATTACATAAGTAAATAAAAAATCATAAATTCAGCTTACATAATAAAAAGACTCAATAAATTGGTTACGTTTGATGCAGTCGTCAACTACATCCGTCAATTGCCTTCAGAAACACAAATTTTTCTACGCTTTGTATAGTAAGATTTCCAACCAACGTGTCTTTATATTAAGTAAGAGCGCAGTGTTATGTAAAATTTCCACGCTTTGCATATTTGCACTAAAACATCAATGGCAACAGTCATCAATAATCATAAATGACGATTGCAGCGTTCGTTTTGCTGACTTTCACCGATGAATTACCTGCTGCATCTTTACGAGCCAAGCTTTTGAGCGCGGATTGTGATTGTTATAATAAAAGCAAAAGCTGAGCTTTGATGCAATTTCCTCTTTTATTCATTTCTCAACTCTCTTTATATGCACTTTTAGAGGCTGTGCAATAGAAATACAAAAGATAAAATAATGTGATTGTATTTCGGTTTTTGGGTAATCCCGCGCACGTTGCGCAACTTCCGATGACAGTTAGATTCAAGAAAAGCTTGAGACCGAGAATTAACAATATATGCATTTTGTTTTTGTTTACTTTAATTTATTTTATTTAGTTTGTCTTAATTTTAATTGTTATATTGTTTTATTTCTTGTATTGTTATTATGTTTATATTTATATGAATTACTCTTGTTTTATTTGAAATTCTTCATTTTATTACATTTCATTTTTACTTTGATGTATTTTAGTAAAACATTTTTACATTTATATATTATTTCCTGTTACTTTTTTGATTCGATTAATAATTATTAAATTGGATTTTTTATTACCTGCTTCTTAAATAAGTAAAATAAATTGAAATATTTTACTTTACTTCATTTAATTGAAAGTTTCTTAACTAAGCATAATTTAAGTTTGATTAAGTTTAATTAAGCATAATTTCATTTATTTTAACTCAATTTTATTTTCGGTCATATCGTTTTTATATTCAAATATATATTACTTAATTCAATTTTATTATATTTTTAAAATCTATTTAATTTTATTTTGTTTATTATACTTTATCTTTTCAAACTTATTCTGTTGTTCTAATTAATTTTATTTTATTTATTTTATTTTTTATTTTATTTTATTTATTTTATTTTTTATTTTATTTAATTTTACATTAATTTATGTTATTTTATTTTATTTTAATTTATTTTATTTTATTTTATTTTATTTTATTTTATTTTATTTTATTTTATTTTATTTTATTTTATTTTATTTTATTTTATATTATTTATTTTATTTAACGTTATTTTATTACATTTTATTTAATTGAATTTAATATATTATTTTTTTCTTATTTTTTATAATTTATGCGGTGATACTTTTATTACATTTTACATTTTTATATTTAATTTTTTCTTTCTTTATTTTATTTAGTCTTCTTATATTGATTTGTGTGATTGTATTTTCTTTTATTTAATTTTTATTCCATTTAATTTGACCACAATTTTTTTTCTCCCAAAATAAAAATCAAAAAGGTCTTTTTGAATATTTCTTGTATATATTTCTCTGTCAAAATAACATTATTGGTTAGAAAAAATTGTTTATAACACCCACATACATATATATACATGCTCTCTATGCTCTCTTCTCTTTCCAGCTCAACATGGAACAAGAGGACACCTGCCGGCCTGTTCCCGCACCGCGTCGTCTCTATCCCGAGCTACGCAAAACAGACTATGAAAATGTAACTGTAGAGTTAATAAACAAAAATCTTAACATCAATTCAGAAAATATACACACAATCACCAATTGCACCGAAAAAGTGCCAAATAATAAAATATTTTTCGGTTCACACTCAGATGCCGAGGATGCGGGTAGTGTAGGGACACGAAAGTCCATACTCACCGAAACAAATGATTTGTATGGACCAAATGCCAATGAAGAAGTGCCACCAGCACCCATTTATGCCACACCAACACCAGCGCCGCGGCCACGTAAGCCACAAAATACGGATTTGGAGAATTCCAACAGCATCTACGAGAACACAGAAATCCTGAGCACAACACCAAACACGGCAACACTCTATCCGCAGCTGCCACGCAATACCGGCGCCATAAGCAAGGAAGCCTCACCGAACACATCTACATCTTCTTCGCCATCGAACAGTCGTGCGGCGCTACGTAAAGCACCCGAACTGCCGCCGAAGACCTATATGAGTGTCGAGCGTGAGCGCGCCAATCGTTTGCAACGATATTCCATTGGCAGTGAAGTGTCCACGACGAGTAGTTATATGGTGACCATGGACGGCTGTGGTGGTGATGGTAGTGTACGTTACAAACAAAAATCAGCCTCGAATGCAACACTAAATTCGTCGGTGGATGAATCGAATGAAAGTGCTGATAATGCTAAATTCAAATCGCCTTCGCCCGGGTATGTAAGCGACGATGTGGATTTTGCTTTAAATAACGGTAGTCACAATATTAGTACTCATGATGATGATGATGATAATGATGATGATGTTGACAACGATAATGTTGGTGATCATGATCATGATGAAATTAGTATTGAATTCGAAAGTGATGATAGTAACCGCAACAGCAACAACGCCAAGGTCAACGCCAACGCCAATACCAATAAATTAAACAATAAATTCACTTGCATTGCCGCCAAAACGAACCAAAGCAAGGCGAACGATAAAAGCGCATTCACTGCAATCACCAATTTTCATGAATCTGCAATTGCATCCAATCAAATTAAAGACAAGTAATCCAAATTTGAGAATATCTGTAACCGATTCTAAGTAAAAAATTACTAAATTTAAATGGTGTTTAGCATTTGGTTTTTGCATGTTTAAGGAGGCTAACCTATAGACATATTTATTATATTTTTGTTGGTGTTTGTATGTAACTTTCTTGCACCACACGGGCTAGCTGCACGTGTATAATAATTAACTGTTACTTTCTAATCCCATTAACATTTATAGCAAACACTGAAGGTCCCTCGCTTGGTCCCATGTAGTGAAGTAGTTGTCGTGTGGGATATCAAGAAATTTGAGGGGGCGTGGACATCAAGTTTTCCTCAAGTCCGCTGAACAGCGAAGCTCCTAGATGTCAAAGACGTGTTCTAGATAAGATCAGCCATATCAAGAGGTGGCGTCCCAATGGGTTGCGACTGTCTCCCTACACATCCATTATATTCGTTTGAGATGACAGCAGGCACTCACTCATTATTTGTATTCGCTGCAAATTACGACGAAACCCGAAGGCGAATTTCTGTTTGCGTTGGTGGGAGAATTTCGCCTGACTTATCCTCAGCTATCTTGCGTTTTCTATTCTCCAATTCAGGCGATCGTTCTAAAATTCAAAAAGAAGATAAATAAAGTAATTGCAAAAGATTTGGCTTTTTTAGATTTAACAAAAACAAATTGTGAGTCACCAACTGGCCGAGCTTTTGTTCTAACAGGACATAATAAATGCATCAGCCGTTCAAAGATGGCCAAGAATAAACTGTTCCCTCCATACTTTTTGAGCAAAAATGAAATTGAAGTAGGAACACAGCGCTTAGAAAGCCAAAAGAAAATTTTCTGTTTTCTATTGGAGTCTGGTTCTATGATAGCTGCAACGCTGATGAAGTCGCTTGGCCTCAACTCTTCACTGCAGTATATGTATTAGGTCAACTAAAAGGTTCGTTCTGTTTTTTATTGATTTTTCAAAATATGATAACTTTGTGTATATTTGTGCGATTTGTTCGTAAATTTGTTGCCAACGAAATGCCAAATTCATTATAACCCTCTCGTAGAAGGCTGCATCCTTATTGGCAGAAAACTCGGAGAGCTAATTTTCACATGCCTCTCTTGATGCCAACTTATCATCATTAAGGAAAATATGGTTATCACTTGGTGCCAGATCCAGACTATACCTTGGATACATTAGGACCTTCCATCCGAGCTCCTGGAGCTTCTGGCGCGTCCCCAAAGGCGTGTGTGACTTGGCGAAGAAAAATTGTAAAATATAGCGAATTTTGTACTGAGTCAATCAATCGAAATACTGTCAAAAGCAAACTTTTAGCGCGAATAATAACACGTTTTCAGCGCCGTGTAGTATGACATGATGCGATACGTAGCTCTAGTATTATGGGCAATAACGCCATCACTTAGATAAAAACCGAACGAACTTTTTGCTACACCTAATATATGCGTCACATTGACATGTAATCTTCTGACAGAGAAAATGGATGTCTAAATGTATGTATAGATTTATTTGGTTGGTAAATCAGAAATTCGTCAGATGATACATTTTATAGCCATTCGTTTCGCGGATTTCTGTCGTCTGAACTATGCCACGAGTACCGAGTGCGTCAATTTAATTGTTCTTTATGTAGGCAGTTTATTGTGATAATAGAAAATTATGTAGAAAATATAGCATATTTATTCAAATCTCTTCTCATTGATGTATATATATATATATATATATATATGTATGCAAATAGATAACTCAGAAGTGATAACTGGAATTTATGAATGAAAATTATTGCGTTTATTTGTTGCCTAATAAATTTTTTTATGCAAAGCAAAGCACCCTTTAGGGAAATCGATTGAATTCGAAAATCATGAATTAAGCGAAAGCCTTAAAGTGAAATAGTATTTAAAAATCATCAAAATATTTTTCGCTTAGACCTAAAACCATCAGAGGAAGTGAATAACTTCAATTTATTTTGAAAAAAATTTTAAATTAATTAAGTTAGAAAATTGCTAAATTAATGTATCAAAGATATTTTCTCGATAAAATTATAATTTAATCCCAATTAGTTTTATATAATAATTATTTCCTACTGGATATTTTGTCAACCAATAAAGTTAATGCAATCATTTGTTATGCGTAATTTTAATATATAAATTTTTTTATCTTAAAATTCACGCACTTTATGTGTAATTGATGCAATAACTGTTATCTTTATGATCATTGGTTTTTTCTGCTTTTCTTTCCACATTTTTTTTTGTAGTTTTCCATTTTGGCGGGTAAATATTTAATTGAATAAATTAGAATAATAATATTCATATTCATATTAGTTCAATTTTGGAAACAAAGCGTTGTACTAGCGTTTGTGTTATTGAAAGTGATAAAAGTATTGACTTTTTAATATTTATTTTAAATCATCGACAATAACAGTAAATCAGAGTTTAATTAGCTCTTAGTATATCCTATTCCATTAGAACACTGAAATTTTTGCTGCACAGACTTCACTCTCAATGAAAAGTACTTAGAAAGTGAGAGCTGGAATAAAAAGTAATAATGTGCAGTGAAAGCTTAGTACTTTCCAGAGGCTTTAGAACTGCGATCGGCAAAAATAAAAATGTGATTGTGTTCGTGAAAGATAATGTTTTTGGTAATTATTTTTTTATTATTTTGGAGAACAAAAAAGATCAGCTACAGCACAAAAATTCATTAGATGATTTTGAAAAGTTACTTAATTCATAAATTAATAAAAAGATATTTAATAATTAATTGAAAGTCGACAAAATTTCATTTCATCATTTGAAAGAGAGAGTCAGATATACGAAATGTGCTGGAATGCGAGTTTTTTATTAATAGAAAAAGGATGAAAAAGAAAACTACAAAGAGTTGCACAAACACTGCTTTCCAAGCGAGTGGAAAAAGTCGCAGATAACAATGTTAGCTAAGCCAGGTAATGACCACAACAAAGGCCTCTACTACTCAGACCAATAAGCCAAATATCCTGTGTTTTCAAAAAGAATTCTGCTATCAAAGAATTTCCTTTTTCATCGTATCAAAGTGATACCGGAGCACCAATTCGTTCTTCGTGAAAAACATGGCACTGTAGAGCAAGTCAAACGAATTACTAATGAAATAAGGCAGACATTCGAGTTCAAAGAGTATTGCAGAGCAATATATTTTGTTGTTGTCGCATAAGCGATCCACAAAGTTTACTATAAAGCCTTTTGTAAAAAAAAAATTGTGTGACTTATAAAATTGATGCTTTGTAACCGCTTAAGCGATTTTCGGCCGAGCTCGTCCTCCGCTTTGTGGTTTTGCGTCTTCTTGTTTTTCCAACAAATGGAGGGACCTACAGTTTATACTAAGCCGCATCCGAACGGTTAATAGTTTTTTACGAGGTGCCTTTCTTCATGTCCCAAATACACTCGAAGGGGTGAAAAATCCTTGCCGATTCCATACCACCCATATTTTGGGCTGCTCCAAAACTTCAGTTTTGTTGGATGGTCTTTCGCCATCTTTCCGGCATACAGCAATATTCCACGCTCATAGAGCTTTTTTCCATTAACTGGCTCGATATTTTCGAAACCTTTACCATTTAATGAGTTCTGCAAAGTTTGAAAAAAAAAATGGTAGTCGGTTAGTGCAAGGTCAGTGTTGTATGGTGGATGGATCAATCGTTTCCAGCCTTGCTCTCACGATTTTAGGTGAGTGACTAAAGATGTGTGTGGTCTAGCATTGTCCTGGTGGGATATGACACCAATTCTGGCCGCTTCTCGTAGATGGATGTATTCAATTTGTCCACTTTTTCAAAGTCGACATCCGTATTTTTCATTTGGTTCCTTGGAAGCAGCTCAAAATATACCACACACATCCAATCCCACCAAATTGACAGCATAATCTTCTTTTGGTGAACATCAGCCTTTCAAATGGTTTGTAGTGTGGCTTCATCATGCTTGGACAATGATCATTTTCGTATTACGATCATATTCATTGCGATAAAGATGCATATCACAAGCGTTGAAGCGCCTTGTTAAGGGGCACACCTAGTGTAACGGCCTAAAAAAAGGAGATTTTTGGGAATTTTTATTAAAAAATACTTTATCAATTATTCCAAAATTTTAAGAATATATTTATACAAGTTTCAAAAATATACAGTGAAATTTTTGAAGAAAAAAATTAAATATTTTTCAAGTTATAGTCGATCTCCAACGGCGCGAAAAAAAGGTCCTTCACTGCTGCAGTGATTGCGGCCTTCTCAGTGGATGAAATCTAAAAAAAAATTCTCTACTAGATAATATTCTCTGTACATTGGCCTACGATAAAAAAAAGATCTCAATAATTGACAATATGGCAAATAGTCGAGTTTTACACAAAATTTTGGTCGTTTTTGGCCTGCCAATATTCGATTTTTTGATCAGATCAAAAATCGATAGGTCATTGTACTGAGAACTATATATAGAATATGTAAAAAAATTCGATGGTAATCGGATCAGTTGTTTTTGAGTAATCACTGCAGCAAATTCGGAAAATGCTGTTTCGAGAAAAACGCGTTTAAAGATAAAATGGTCGTTTTCACTCGTAGCTAATGAGACTCTCTAGCTGCCGAGTGGCTGCTCTTTAAAGTGCTATAACTCAAAAACTATTTGAGATATAGATTTGAAATTTTAATATGTTATTTTTAAAGGTGTAATCTACCAAAATATGAAAAAATCGATTTGATGACCAAATATCATGTGTTTTTTTACCGTTGCGCACGTAATCTCTGTTCAACCTTTATCATGTGACAAAGGTATTTAGCTCTTTTATGGATTTGGTCACTTGCGCTGTTGAGCTCAATGAATAAGTTTGTCACTTCTCTAGTGGACACCATTGTTTCAATTAATGATAAGCAATCGAACAGACTGTCTGCTCTACTATTTTTGGACACACTGCCCCAAAATTTGAAGTTCACTCGTGGGAATTAATAATACAAGGGCTTGCCTGAGGCATCATGACGTCTCCAAAAATACATTTTCGGTATATATGTATGCATGTATATATGTAATGAACTTTATTTCATAGATATTTATATGTATGTATGTAGTGAATTTTATATACTCTTATCAGATCGACACGCCACAGTTGTTGCATGTTTGCCACACGACATTGAGGTTTATGTATATCTATGTACATGTGCGTACATATATCATCTTTTTGTGCCGCCAAAAGAATTCTAAATTTAGTGGCATTTCTTGCAGTAGGAGCGGGAGAGCGCGTGTATTGCGTTAATTAGGTAAATATTTTGGGTTTGAAGGGAAGTACTATCTATATTGTGTACTTGAATACATACATACATATGCACTTCGAGTACATATAGATATTATGCATGCTACAAAAACACATTTACATATATTAATAATATTAACTCTGCAGTTAAATAGCAAAGTGGTTACAAAACCAACTAGTTTATCACTAGAATTTCTTGAGTTAAAGTGTATTAGTATTTTTTTTTCATTATTTTTACCTTAAACTGGACCAATGACTTGCTTGCCCATTTTGAACTGGATGAGAATAGTATATTTAAGCAAAGAAGGACTAGTCCGAAAAACACTAAACTGGTACCAATCGTAAAATGTCATTTATCCATTCGTTTAATTTTTTTTTTAACTTTTAATATGAATAAAATTTTTTTTTAATATTATCCTTTCATAGTTTTTTTTTTAAATATCTAGTTGATTTTTCTTAGTAAATAAATCTAATCACAATATCAATATTTGGTATAATAATTAAGTAGGTTTAATTGGCAGACTCCGTTTGCTTTTAATGAAGGAAGCTTTTTTACTGAAGCACTTGATATTCTTCTTCCCTATTGGCGTTGGGACCTGATGATTAGCTTTAGCCCTTCCACAGCCCAGATTGAACTCTTAGTTACCAGCGTAAATTTCTTTCTACCCATGGTCGCTCTCAAAATGAAGAGTTGCAATTATTAGGCTTAGTAAAAATAAATCCATTATTATGCAAATAGATGACGTTATTTAACTGTATCTGTACTTTTATAGTCAATCATGCACAATTTCGGTTTTATTCCGATAATATTGATGTAAAAGATGTTTCAAGGAGTGGAAGGGCAATTGGTGAAAATGTCGATAAAATCATGGACATTGTCGAGTCCGACCGGCTCTGTTTCGATTGCCCAAGCGCTAAAGATTGCAAAAAACAAAAAATAAAACAGTTTGTAATTATTCACTAACGATGGATACGAAAAGTAAAAATTAAAGCTTCATGCAAAAATAATGGATTTCTTTTTACTACACCTAATATATAGACATTGGGAACTTTGGCTAGAGGCCGCTACTATCACATGCTGCCGTTACCATGTGTTTGAAACAACCAGCCGCACTCTTTCTCTGTTTCTGACTGGAGGTTAGAGGGGTGTTATCGTCCGACTCGAAAATATATTTTGGATTCATATTTGTCATTGTTCATTTTACCGTTGAGTCGGTCATACCCGTTATTGTTGATTTTGTCTTTTGTTGGTTAATTCTCGGTAACAAAAGTAGCTCGAAAAGTGTTGGTCGCAGAGCCGAAGCGAGAGTGTATTTTCTGACCTCCCTGCCGGGCGACGAGGAGAACCTTTGGCGATCACCTACTCACTTATCACCTACTGCCCGCTGACCATTCAATCATCTTCAGGGATACCTCGATGCCTAGCTTATTGTTAGTGCTGTTATCTACACACATACCTACAACAATAAGGGTAAAAACGAAAAATTTATTTATACATAACCTCATTGTGTAAGTTCCGAGATGTTCACTTTACCGATGTATCCTCTACTATTACTCAAGCACTTTTCCCACGACAAGCGGACCAAATCTGAAGAAGTGAAACCAAATTTACTAACTTATAGAAAAAAATCATGACAATAAAAAAATTAAAAAGAAATTAAAAAAAAATCCCAATAACTGTTATCTACCAGGTAACCAAATTGGCCAATTAAAATAGCATTTTGAAATAAATAAAAGTTATTATTTTTGAAATTATTTTAATTTCTTTTTAAGTATACAAAATGTTAATTACAAAAAGTGACTAGTATTTATCTGGTCCACTTTGAACTACTAAAATACTAGTTCATGTATGTTTAAAATCTGATAACTGTTATTTATGCATTTGTTTATAAATATAAGGAAAAAGTTTGATGAACGTATTCCGGAGTAGTTTCCAACTAGTTCATTTGACTGCGGTTAAGTTTGCTGGGTATTTACATATGCAGATATATATTTTGCTCTGCTATGCTGTGCATGTAGTAAGATATTGTGTGGATTTTATTAATTACAACGCATACATTTCCCTTCGACTTTAGTTTGGAGGGGCACAATTTCGTAGATTTGAACTTCATTTAACTGCACACATCTGTATATACGTATTTATATATTTATGATTTTGAATGCTCTCATGAGCAAAGCATGATCTTAAATACATACGTACATATTTATGTATCTATATGCATGCCTAATTTTTTAATCTTCATATATGTAACTATGTTTGAACGCTCTCCAAAAGTTCTCTATAAATAAGACTTTCCTTCCAGCTCACGAGCTTCAGATGTATTTTCTTTGTACCAAAGAACACATCATCAATTGCAGCTGGTCGAATAATAATGATTATCAATTAATAAATATTTTTCCTTAACTTGTACATTAAACATAAAATAAAAACAAAAACAATGGTAGTTGTTGCGGCGGAAGTATTTGGTTGATAAGTGAGGGTAATGGGCAGACACAGACACATACACAACATAACAAAAAAAAAAAAAGAAAAAAAAAATTTAGAAAATAATTTTCGTATTTTTACAGCGAGCTCTTGAAATCCATTGGGTCCACTTCGAAACTACTCACCGAATCCATCGGTGAACGCGTGGCACTCAAAGCCAAGGGCGTCAAACATAAACTGGATAAGAATTTCAGCAATATTAGCAGTGAAACAGCGAGTCGCTTGCGTAGTGTTGGCAAGAATTTCAATACGAACTTTACGCTCACCAAAAAGGAGAAGGATAAAGAGAAGGAAACGGCTACGGCACAATTTCACACTGATCGCCCACAAACGCTGCCACCCAACGATCACGTTTTCGGCACCATTTCCTTCACCAGTCCGTTAAATCGCAAAGCGGACGGTGTTGATGATCTCTCTGCCAGCACTGCTGATTGTTCGTATGATTTGCCGCGTAATTTGAGAGCTGCACGCAGTGATTTGGATCTACCCGCACCGCCATCGTACGAAGACGCGCTCAAAGCAACGCCACAAACACCATTCGAGCGTAACGCACCACAGAGTAAATCTGTCATGGTGCCCAAACATATAGCCGCTGAGGCGGCTAATGTAGCATTGAAAAAACAGCGCAGCAATACGAGTTTGCAAAATGTTAGGGAAGAAATGAATTCAGCGGACAATACCAGTAGCTCGGTGGCAACGTCACGTGACTCGTTAGATTTGCCCTCACCGCCAATGCCAACATTTCCACCACCATCACTGCCCAAAGAAGTTGTCACTGAGTTATCGGATGGTTTGTATGGTAAACTGAAGCCAATTCAGCCACCGCAGCGTTTGAAGCGTCGGAAAAATTATGAAGAAATTCAACTTAGGCGCGTGGTGGAGACACCATCGCCGGTAGGCGGTTCATCTTTACGTCCGAATGTTGATTCGGCAGAGCTGCATCAGCTAAATATTGAAGCCGTAACCGCCGAGCGTGAGGAATCCATGCTGATACATAAACAGATACTTGCAGCAGAGAATCGCATGCCAAAACCGGATCGTAGTGACTCATGGGAGTACTTTGCCGATAGTGTGGAGGAGAGCGTCTGCTCAACGCCAGAACCGGTTTACGCTAATGAAGAGGCCACCTATGGACGGGTGTTTGAAATGGCGTCGAGTTCCAGGCCCGTGCTGGTCGCACAAAATAGTGGAGTATTAGAAATGGCTAACAGCATTAATAATCAAGCACAGCCAAACAGAACCGCTGACTCGGCGCTGGAAGGCGCAGTTGGGGGCTGGATAAAGCCACCAGTGGAAATTATTAAAGAATTTGATCCACTGGCCAGTCGTAAAGCTGCCACCATCTGTAGCTCTGATAAGAGCAATCAGCTGTTGCTGTTGGAACATCTGCTGGAAGAAGATATCTACGGCACAGTCTCAGGTGATCAAGTAAAATCGGATGATGATGTCAGCATGTGTACATCGGAGGAGGATAATCAAACTGCACAGACCACAACAGCTGCTATCACCTCTCCACAACCCACAGCAACAGCCGCAGCACCAGCAACAGTTGTGCTACCCACACCAAGCGCTAAGGCCACAAACGAGACCGATGAAGCTCCTAATAAGCTGCAAATCGTGCACCAAAACGCTCAATTACTATCGGAGAGCATGGAAAATATGTTGGATGAGCAAGAGGCACGTGTGCGTCCTTACCTAAGCCGCTTGGACGAACAGCCAGCCAGTAGTGGCAATGTAGATTTAGCGCGCGCTACCGAAAATCGCACACAATGGTTCGTGCGCGACAATAACAATAAGGAAAATAATGAACAAACCCGTCGAAACCCTTTCAATAAGCTAAATATCGAAGGCGATGGTCCACCATCCTACCTTGAAGCTATTGGCGCTGACGGCCGTCCACCACTAACGCCCACCGAACAAAAGTCGCGCGCATCACGTTTCATGAACACCATGAATGTCTTCTCGACGAGTGTGAAGCAACGTGTGGGTGCCATAACACGTAAGAGCAGTTTCAAAGCCGCCACCAAATCGGATGTGAAAGTAACACTTCAAATGGTGCCACGTCCCACGCTCTCACCGCTACTCGTACGCTATGAAGGTCCACTGATACGTTTTCCATCGGGCGTGGTGGAGGATATACTCAAAGAGATGCAAAATCGTAAGGCGATTCTGCGTGATCGCCAATTTCAAACATTCCTCGATCAGGAGATGAAGACTCCGAAGGAGACTATACCACTCGACTACATAACTACATTGCAGTGTGTGAGTAATAGTCGTGTGACTGATAATTCAACACATTTCTATTGCTTTGAGATCACAACGTCGGTGCCGAAGAATCAGTCGAGTTCGGGTAATGTGCAGGCTATGTCCAATCCGAACCTTGTGATGACGAGTACTTCTTCGGGTAATTGTAAGCATCAGCGTGTCGCACATATGTACGGTGTTAGCAAAGAGTCGGAACGGTGAGTAGAAGAAGGAGAAAGAGAGAGAGAAAGAGAGGGAGGGCGATATTCACTCTACTCAACTAAACATTTCGTTTGTTTTCCTTCTCAGTGGCATTTGGATGCAAAAGCTCTTGGAGAGTCTGACCAATACGATACCACCAAAATATCTCTGTCATTACTATCGCGCCGGTTGGTGTTATCTGAAGAACTCTATCACCTCCGAGTGGAGCGGCACTTGGCTAGTGCTGAAGAAGAATCAAAGACGTCTGATATTTGTGAGCGAAGCAGCTGGTAATCTGGAGAAAATGGATCTACGCAAAGCGCGTTGCATAGGTAAGTCTCCTGAGTTTATAAACGCTTATAAATTTATTACTCACCGACGCCATACTTACAGTGCTCAAAGATAGCGATGAGACCATACGCAATCTACACGTCGAATCCGGTCCGACACTCATGATAGACTGTCCACCCTTCACCGTTTATATGATTATGTCCTCGCCGCGTGAAACAAAAATTTGGCGCCATATCATACGGGAGGTGGCGCACAATAACGGTTTCTCGCTGATTGATCAACAATTGACCAAGTTCAATGTGCCCGTCATTGTGGATAAATGCATAAATTTCGTCTACATACACGGCTCCATGTCGGAGGGCATCTATCGTAAATCAGGCTCTGAAAATTCCATACTAAAATTACTCGCCGCCTTTCGTGCCGACGCCTTCAACGTGGAGATCACGCGCAATGAGTATAACGAACACGATGTCGCTAATGTTTTGAAACGATTCATGCGTGATCTACCGGAACGTTTAATGGGTAAACTTTCCGAAAGCTTTATGTGCGTTACTGAGCTTACCAAGTCGGCGGAGAAGATACAGGCTTACAAAGAGCTGCTGGCGCGTTTGAGTGTCATCGAGCGTGAGACGTTGAAGAAGATTGTTGGGCATCTGGCGTTCATAAGCTCACAGAAGTCGAAAAATAAAATGAGCACAAAAAATCTGACCATGATTTGGGGTCCAACGCTGTTACAGAATCATGTAAGTGGGGTTCGGGCTTTCAATCAATGTTTCTTTAAAATTTTAATTTATCTTATTTTTCCAGCATCAGCAAGAAGAAATGGTTTACTCACAAAAGGAGGCTGATGTCTTAACCGATTTGATAATACTCTACAAGCATCTGTTTCCACTGTCGCCGGAGGAAATTGTAAGTTTTTTTGGACTTTCTTTATGTTGTAAGTTGATTTCTAAGATTACGCGTTTTTTTTGTGTATTGCAGAAAAAAGAACAAGAAATGCTTATGTGTCTACAAAAATATTACGCCGCCGCGGAAACACTGACCGACTCGGTCAAGAAGTCGGGTGACTTAAAGATGTGGGTCGTTCTAAACGCCAAGCCGGAAAATACAAAAGAGGTATGTATTGTGTACATAAAGAAAAGCCGAGTGTCTCCCTTAATTTGTGGTTTGCGCCTTAATATTTCCCAAGATATAGACGGACCTACAGTTTTAAGTGCTTCCAATCGACTGATACATTTTTATGCCGAGTTTTTTTCTTGATATTCCCAATGGAGAGGCTATCGTGATTGGCTCGATTAGACAGTTTCTTCTATCTATGCGTACACATCTCTGTGGGGTTAAGCCTTGAAGCATAGTGGGAGACATGGCGCCTGCCAAAACACCGCTCTCGCAACCGCGACATGAAGCCGTTTGAGAATTACATGTACTTTACTGGCATAGACACCGCTTAGGTGATTAATGCCGAGCTAACAACAGCGCGCCACTCATTCCTTTGTGCCAATTGGAAAGACCAAATGCAGCCAGGTCCTCTTCTAACGGAGTGGATATTTTCCTTTTCCACTGCCTACAGCGGCGAGTGTTGCACCGAAAACTTTCATAGCTGAAGTATTCTTAAATAACCGGGGCATTTGACCTAGCCAGCGTAGTACCTGTTTCTTCCTCGCTGAGCTATGTCAATGGCGTCGTATATCTCGTACAGCTCATCGTTCAATCGGCTGCGGTATTCGCCGTTCCCAACTCGTAGAGCACCATTAATCTTACGCAAAATGGTATATCTCGAAAACTCATAATGCCGTCTCTTCAGATGTTGTCATCGCTCAGAGCTTCGCACCTTATAGCAGGACGGGAACGATGAGCGACTTATAGAGTTTAGTCGTCGTTTTTCGAGAGAAGACTTTACTTTTCAATTACCTACTCAGACCAACGTGGGACCTATTGGAAAGTGCGATTCTGTGCTGGATTTCCAGGCTGAAATTGTTTTTGATGCTAATGTTGGTTTCCAGATAGACGAAATTATCTAAGACTTCAAAGTTATGACTGTCAACAGTGATGACAGAAGATATTTCGTCTTGTCTTCGTCCCCTTCTAGACCCATATGCCTCGCTTCTTTTTGAAGTCTGGAGAAAGCAGAACTACCGGTGCGGTTGTTGAGGCCAATAATGTCAAAATCATCGGCGTATGCCGGTAGGATTGTACCTTCTCTATACAACTCTGCAGAAAAGTCGCACAATAAGAAATCACCCTTTCTCAAACCTCGTTTGGTATCGAACGGATTAGAGAGGTCCTTCCCGATGCTGACGGAGCTTTTAGTATTGCTTATCGTCAGTTTCCACAGCAATATAAGTTTTGTGGTGATACCAAATTCAGACATAGCGGCGTAAAGGCTGCTGTCGATGGCTGCTTTAATCGACGAAAAGGTGGTAGGTGTCGATCCTCTTTTCACTGGACTTTTGCAAGATTTGACGCATGGTGAACATATTTGTCAATGGTTGACTTATCAGGTCTAAGGCCACACTGATAAGGTTCAATCAGATTGTTGACACTGAATTTTAGTCATTTTAGTCTTTCACCGCTTTTTATACGATATTAACGAGCAAAAAGCAGCTCCTGGAGTCATGCATAAATTCGATAGTTTGCGCTGCTCTCGTTAAAATGTACGCTTGCATTCCCCACCATTCCTTTCGAGCTTTAAAATAATTTTAATACTTTAAACCCATTTCATAGGAAAAACAACAAATAAATGTCACAATCACACCCACCCGCACTGCATACGATATTTGCCGCGAATTAGCGCCGAAAATGCAAATGTCTACACATCAAGTCTCATTACACGAAGTCATACTAAATGATTGCCTCGAGCGGCCGCTGCATCACGAGACAAAGGTATTCGATGTTGTGCTCAACTGGTCCTATTGGCCCGAGGATGATCGTAAGAACAATTATCTGGTAGTGAAACCGATCGATACGTTGCGCGAAGTTCAGCGTGCCGTTAAAAACCTGGCCACAGTTACGCCTGGCAAAGAGTTGAAATTCGCCGATAATCGTACAAAGAGCTATAAATCATTTCTCTGTGAGTTGAGAGATGGTAAAATCGTGATATCGAAAAAAGACAAAAATGAGAAGACAACAATTGTGCGTGAAATATTCCTACACAGCACGACGGCGTATTTGGGTTGTGAGAAAAAGCGGGATTTCCCGTGGAGTTGGGCGATCACCTTTGTGGAGCGTACACAAACGCAGATATTGAGGTAGGTGTAGGGTGAAAAAATATGTCTTACCAAAATTGTGTTAATAAAGAAATATGTTTATATATTTGATCCATTAGATCACGCGATTCACCATTTATTGGTCACGTGTTGGCAGGCAGCGAATGGGTTGATCGTACGATATGGTATGCCAGCATTTGGTACAGCCTGTATGGTGAAAACATATTACCGCCAGCGGAAATTATCATAAAGTAACGTAACACACACAATGAGAGAGAGAGAGAGAGAAAGAGGAGAAGCGATGAAAATGGGCGATAGGGAAGGAGCGAGGTGCAATTAAATATATTTTTATATGTAGGTTATGTAAAAACAAATACTTAAATATTAATTGTTTATTTATAGGTTTTTTATAGTAACTATTATTAAGTAAAATGTAAATGCCATCATTTATTTAATAGCTGCACATCATTTTGAATTTATTGAGCATTTCTATTTGCATTTTTTTTCCATATAAATATTTATACTATACATTTCATTTTGTATAGCTATAAGTGCAATAAATAAATTGCATAATTTAATTAAACTCTTTGTTTTGTTTGCTAGTGTTTTTAATTTTGTGTATGTATTTTATTTCTATTTTAAATAATATAATTAACTTTTTTGAATAAAAAATCATTCCATTTTATTTACTTTTATTTTATTTGTATTTTAAACTTATTTAACATATTATTTTAATTTAATTTTATTATTAATTTTGTTTTTCATTTTATTTTTCTTAATTTAATTTTGTATTATTATTATCTGTACTCTGTTGCTGATTTTTGAATTTTCCATTTTATATTTGTACTTTTCCTTTTTTATTCTGTATTAAATTATTTTGTTTTACTTTATAGCATTTATTTCATTTTTATATCTTAATATATTTATTTCATTCAGTTTTTATTAAATTAATTTTTATTTCACAGTTTTCGATTTCAATTTATTTAAATTTATTTTAGTTAACTCCATTAAATTAAATTAAATTTTATTTAATTACATTTATTTTAAATAAATTAAATTAATAAGTTTAATTTATTTAATTAAGTTTTATTTAATTATATTTAAATAAATTTCGTTTTATTCGAGTTTTTTATTTTGTTATTTTTTCTTTCAGTTAATTTCATTTTATATAATATTATATTTTTTTAATTTTATTTAATTATATGAAATGAAATTTTTTATTATTTTAACTGTTCAATTTTATTTTTTAACTTAATTTATTTTTATTTTAGTTATTTATTTTATTTTAATCAGTATATATTATATTTTTAATATTATTATTTTTTAATTACTTTATATTATTTTTTCAAATTTAATTTTGTGTAGTTTAATTTAATTTAATTTAATTTAGTTTAAAATAAATTAATAAATTATATTTTATTTTTATTTCATTTTTCTAATGAAGTTTAATTAATCTTTTTTCCAATTATATATAATATAATTTTAGTTAGTTATTTTAATTAAAATTTATTTTCTTTTGATTTAGTTTAAGTGAAATTATTTTATTATTTTATTTTTTAATTAATTTTATTTTATTATAATATATTTAATATCGTTTTATTTATTTATATTGAATTTAATTTAATATAATTTATTTTCTTAATTTTAAAATAATTTTATTTAATTATTTTTTGTTTTATTTAATTTGATTTTATTTTAATTTAATTTATCTAATAGAATATTATTTTATTTTCTTATTATTTCTTTTATTAAATATAATTTAATTTAATATTTTATTTTGTTTGAGTCATTGTATTTTATTTAATTTCGTGAGTTTAATTTTTTTTATATTATTTAATTTAAGTTATTTTAATATAACTTGTTTTACTTTGTTTTATCTTATTTGATTTAATTTAATTTAATTTTATGTAATTATACCTAATAAAAATTTATTATGTTATATTTAATTTTAATGAAGTTTATTAAATTCAATTTCATTTTATTTTATTGTTTTTTGTTTTATTTATTTTAATTCAATTTAATTTCTCGTTTTTTTAATTTAACTTGATTTTTTAATTAATTGAAATTTATTTCAAGTTATTTAGTTTAAATTCAGTTAATTTTATTTTTTTTAAATTTATTTTATATATGTTTATTTAATTTTATTTAAATATTATTTGCTTTACTTAAGGTAATTTTATTTCATTTGATTTAATTTTTTTATTATTTGCTTTACTTTATTTTAATTTGTTATATTTTAATATTTTTTGCTTTATTTAATTTAATTTTATTTTAATTTATTTAATTTTAAAATTATTTGTTTCATTTAGTTTAATTTTATTTTTTCATGTTGGTTAATTTTGTATTCAGTTATATTTCTATCTTTTATTATTGTACTTTTTTCCTTTAACTTTATTACATTTTTTATTTTAATTTAATTTTAATTTTTACTCTTTTCTTTTATTTATTTTAGTACCTATTTTTTTGTTTGTTGCATTTTTTCATGTTTGTTCAAACTTATTTCATTTTATTCTTAATTTTTTTTATTAAATTCATTTTAATATCAAAATGGTTGGTATCGTATTGTACTTGCCATATACTGCATTAAATTCCTTTTTCTAAAAACTATTTTCGAGAATTTTCAAATATGCATTTGTCTGCAACTTCATTACATTTCTTTACTTGTCTGTATTTATATAAACAGACTACCACATTTCTATTGTAGAATTTTGTGTTAAAATTGTTTGCAATTATAGCCCATAACGATTTTTTAAATATTTTTTAATAAATTTAAAATAAATAATAAAAAAATATTTTATAATCATATATAAGTCATTTAAAAAAATTTTTCATTTATCGTATATTAATAAATATGTAAGTATTTTTTTTATAAATAATTCAAATCGTGTTTTTGTGTGTGCATTTTTTAAAAAAGTAAGTTGAATTGTTAAAATTAATATTTTTATAGCGAATTAAGTACAAAGCGCCACCGTCATATATTTCTTAATGCATAAATGTATATGATAAATATTTTTATATATAAAATATTTCCTCATAAAAACAGCTCAAAAATAAATTTATTTTAATTACATATTTATATATATGTATTGCATGTACATTTGTATGTTTGTTGGTATGTAAAACTACTATTTCAAAAATTAAAAACGAAAATACTACAGGTATATACGTGTGTGTTTGCGTGTGTATGAGTGTAAATTTGTATTTAGCGTATCCTTCGTTTTTAAAAGTTACTGGTATGGACGGATGCATAAATCGGACGATTACCGTTGAGACGACAGCAAAAAATTAGCATTGTGTAGGCGAAAGCGAGCAGAAAGCCAATTGAATTGAACGTAATGGACAAGATCAATATTGTAATCCACACACCGCGCACTTCCTTGCAACTTAAGTCACTGTAGAGAAAATTTTATATAAAATTTTACTTTAATTTATAATTAATTCTTTTTTTTTCCACATCTCTCATACTCACCGATATTCCACCTTGTAACTCTGATCACTGAACGTCGTCTCCGGCGGCACTTCCTCATCCAGCAAACCATTGGCCAGCTGTGCCACACTGCTGCTATTCGCTGCCGGCGTCGCCAGTTCAGCCTCATTCACATTAAACGTGCATGTGCAAGAACCTTGCTCCAGTAGTATATTTGTCGACGCACAGTGTGTATCGCTAGCGCAGAGACGCGCATAGTGCAGGGTGGCACAGAAGAGCGCCACCACACACAGCAAGACGGCCAAGAGGGCGAGCAGATATGTATCGGCGCGTAAAAATTTAAAACAATTCTCGCGTACTTTGTGTCGTTTAATACGCTGATAGCGTACAAGCACAAGTCCCAGAATGCCGGCGAGGAGGAGCTGTGGAGACGAAGGAGAAAAATATATATTTTTCTGCATTAAAAATTTAATCTTAGTTAAATATTGAACTGAATTATTGGCTTTGAATAAGAGATTTCTGAGACATGTTCGATTTTCTCTGGAAAGAAAGCTCACTAAGGAGTTCCTGGGTTTTCAGCTTAGAACAGGCTCTCGCAAATAAAAGAGAGCGAAGGTGGGAGAGACAAATGACGGCATATCCACATATATATTCAAAACAAACAAACAGTTTTTAACCCTGAAAAACGCTGTGTTATATGAGATAGAAGCTGACACATTTTCAGCCACGTCTTTCAGAAACAGCAAATTTTACAGGCAAACTGATGAGCTGACAAGCTAAGACAGGATTTGAAACATTAGAAGAGAGCGCTTGAATGTTTTTCTCTCTCACTCTCTAAACTTAGAGTTAAATTTCATGTTAGCTTGGTGAGTACTTGAAAAATATTACATATAAATAAGTCGTAATCTCTTTCTGGACTGTGGAAAATTCTGAAATTCTCAAAGTCTTCCTAGAAAAATAGGAAATAAATTATATTTTTTAACACTTGACTGGTGATGGAGATGTTTTGCAGGATTTCGTTCAAGAGAGCAAAAACAGTTGTGGAACTGAAGTTAGAACACTTAAAGATTCGTGAGCATTATTGCTGTCCAAGTTTTAAATAATGAAACCCGGGAGTGAAGAATTAAACGAAAATTATTTCAAAAGGATACACATATGAAGAACATATTTTAAGTGTCCGGATCGAGATCTTTTATAACTAGACCTTATTAGCACAAGACTTATAGCTTCCAAAAGTTATAGAAAATTAATTTAAATAAACATCAACCACTCCGAGTGTATTTCTGGCATGAAATAAAAGTTCCTCATAAAAAAAACCATCAGCCATTCGGAGGCGGCTTAGCATAAACTGTAGGCCTCTCCATTTGTTGGAAAAACATCAAGGAGGAGCTCGGCGGAAAATCGCTTCAGTGATTACATAGCGGAAATTATATATGTGTACATACATACATATATGCGAAAGAAAGTGCTCGTGAGCAGCTCTTGAGAACAATATGGGCTAAAAACTGGTCGAAAATCACCTCAAATGGAACGAAGTGTGCAAGAATTCGTAAGTCGGTCATTTGAATTTTGTAATGTTTCACATGTGTATAATGTAAATGTTTGAACTTTATAATTAAAGAGGAGTTTCACGAAAAAAACAACAAAAAAATGGCTCGTAGAGCTGAAGGTGTTTGCTTCCTCTGATTTGTTATTTCCTTCGGATTCTTATCGCAGATGGACCAAAATAATTATTTTTTCTGGCCGGCAAATCTTATTTAAATCCTTCCTGATTATGATTATTATGAGTATTTTTTGTGAAAATTATAAATAACTATATAATAAATTATTATTATTAATTTTTTTTACTCACCACTAAGCCACTCCAATAGGGATTATATTGTATGGCCGTATTTGGCGCTAAACAGAATATCCAAATCGCTAGGAATGATATTAGTAAACCAACTATTATCTCCAGTATGAGCAGCCAACGGGCAAGATTCGGATATTTGAAATTCATTGGATTCGGATGCTGTGCGGCTGTGTATAGAGAATGTACCATTTTTATAAACAAAAGTGAAAAGATGCAAAGAGAAAATTTCAAAATTTCAATAAAATTCTGTAAAAATGTTTTATAAAAACTATTGTGTATTCTGTAAGAGTGTAGAATCTACTAACCGCGCTCACATCACTTGGGATACCAGTGGACCGATTATCACTAGAACTGATTATTTACATTAATTTGTATTTGTTGTTGTTGTTATTTGATTATACTATAAAGTAATTAATTTGAAGTAAACTACAGATTACGGTATTGAACTTGACTTGTAGTTGATATTTAATATACAATATATGTACGTATGCATGAAGTCGTTAATTATTTAATCAAATAAGTGTGCAACGTCGAAAGGGGCAATTACAACAAAAGTCAATGAGTTTATATGTTACTTTGTGTACGAGTTATTGTTTTTTGCAAGCTCATTTAATACTAGTACTAGTTTGAACTCTATTGGTTATTAACTATATTTAATTGTTAGTAGAACAATTATTAATTCCTTAATCGTAGATATGTATTGTATGTATAGAACTCAGGAAATAAGTATCTGCGCATAGAAAAATGTTCACGGAAAAATTTTGAGAATTTTTTTTAAATTTAGTTTTTGTTTTCAGATGGAAGTTTTTAAATTTAGTTTATCCCAATACATATCTACTTGAAGAAATAATTTACAATTGTTTAAGCAGTCTCATTATCCATAACATATAATTATATAACAAAGTTATTTTGTGTGAATAAATCGTGTAGGTATTTTTGAAATATTTTCCTTCAGTTGAATATTTCTAAGCTCAAATGTAATTAAAAAAAATAATTACTTTTGTTTAGTCCTAAGCAACCTAAATAATATTTTCCTAAATTATAAATGTTTTGACTGAAATAAATATTTCATACCTTTAAGAAAACATAATAATTTACACTAGTTTCGGTTTCCATTGGACAAATCTTGTGCCATATAATTTAAATTTATTTTTCAAATATCTTTAGTTACGAATAGCCACTTTTACATTGGACCATTACACATATATTTAAGAAAAATAATAATTTGAACATTTTAATAGTCTCGCTTTCAGTGGGACAAGTTTTTTGATATATATTTTTTTTATCAAAAATCTTTAGTTTCCCCCTTTTACATATATTCTAAAAAAAGTAATATTTTAAACTTTTTAATAGCCTCGATTTCCGTGCAACATTCCTTGTAATCTATTTTTTATTTACCGTAAATCTCAATATTTTTTTTTTTGTTTTAGGACAACTGGGAATGTGGTATTACAAAAATTAAATTATTGTAAATAACTAAAGGTAAATATATTTGTTGGTGTATTTATATGTCATCCCGAAACCCTAACCATATTTTATCGAATAATACTCAAAAGTTTTTGAATGCACTCAGTACATACAAACATACATCTCTTATCCAGAGATAAACAGGCAAGCATGCCTAAAGCTATGTAACTACTTGCTTCGTAGTAGTTCGTAGTTGTGAAAATTTCTAACATTTCCTTCGAATAACTACTAGATGAAAACTTCAAGAAAATCTTTCCAAAGATGATTCCCTGAACATATATTTATTTAGGGAATTTGTTCTCTACTACCGCTAATAAAAGCATAAACATATCCTATGAAGTATAGGATAAGGTGTCGCCGACGAATGACCCCTCTTACAATACATATACATATATGTATGAATGTATGTTGTTATTGTTATTATTGAATTTAATAATAAAAGTACAAAAGCAAGTTCATTAGTAATAAAAGCATTAATTATATACAATCAACGGTTATTAAGGATTTAGTTTCCAAGCAAGAACAAAAACAAAGCATTATATTGTATTAAAATATAAATTTAATTAAAAAGCATACATGTGCATTTACCATTGAGAAAACGTAAATATTTACATACATACCTACTAAATGTGAACTATAAATACAAATTGTATTGTACTATAAAGAGGGAAACCAAATTAAATGGAATTAAATCAAATGGAGCGCAAATCAAAAGCCATAAATTGTAAGCGATTTAATAATTATTTAAGCGAATTTCATTTTTGAATTTTGTTATTGTCAATTATGTATGAAACAAGCACCTTGCCACTTACCTGGATATGTTTTATTATTTACAACTAGCATGCGACTGTGCCTTAAACTATTTCTTGTTGGAGTATGTCGGCCCGCAATTTTACTACCTTTTATATTCTGCGGCACTGTGGTGGACATGTAGACGGCCTAAAATGACGAGAAAACCATCAAATACGATAAGATACATAATAAATATAAATTCCTTAAATGTAAAAATAAGGTAATTCTAACTAAAATAAAATGAAAATAAAACTGAAATTTCATAAGATAAAATTAAAATGAAATAAAATAATTAAAAAAAAATGAAATAAAAAAATTAAATTAAATAAAGTGTACATAATTAAAAAATTTTTAATTAAATATAAAAAATTTAAGCAAATAAAATAAAATAAACGAATATTAAATGAAATAAAACTTAATAAAATTACTTAAAATAAAAGAAATTATAATAGAAGAAAATAAAAGCAAACAAAACAAAATAAGGTACATAAAATACCATTAAATGAAATGAAAAACAAAGTTATAAAGTAAAATAAAATAGAAAAAATTAATTTAAATGAATTTTAGCAAATAAAATAAAAAATAAATAAAATAAACCAAAAAAAAATTAAATTAAATAAAATAGGACAAAATAAGATGAAATAAAATTGTATAAATAAAATACAATACAATTAAGTAAAGAATGTAAAATAAATAAAAAGATAAAAAAAAATAAAAAAATAAAATTAAAATAATATTTAATTTAATTAAATTAATTTATTTTAACTTAATTTAATAAAACAAAATAAAATAAAATAAAATAATTAAAATACAATAAAATAAAATAATGAAAAACAAAATGAATCGAAATAAAGTAATGTAAATTACAATAAAATAAAATCTAATTAAATAGAACAAAATAAGATGAGATAAAATAGCATAAAATAAAATAAAAATTAAATTATATTAAAATAAAATTAAATTAATCAAATAAAACAAAAGAAAAGAAATGAAATAAATTTAACCAAAGTAACAAAAAAAAAAACAAAGTACAAAATATTAAGCTAAATCATGTAAAATCAAGATTTAATGAAATAAAATAAAATCAAACAAAAAGTTAAGAAAAAATAAGTAAAGTAAAAAAATTAATAAAATAAACTAAAATAAAGTGAAATTAAATAAAATGAAATTAGATCAAATATATAAAAAATAAAATAATTAAAAAAATATATATAAAAAGAGTTAAATATATTCAAATAAAATAACAAGGCAAGTTAAATAAAATAAAAAAATCGAAAGAAAATTATTTAAAATAATAGAAAATAAAATAAAATAAAATAAAGAATGTAAAATGAAAAATAAGATAAACTAAAGTAAAATAAAAAATAGAATGGAACTAAATTGAAATTAAATAAAATAAAATTTAATCAAAACGAAATAACAAAAAAAAAAAGAAATAATAAAATATTAATTATTATTATAAATTAATTTTAAACAAATAAAATGTATAAAATTAAATAAAAATAAAAGTAAGTATAATAAAATAAAACAAAACAAAATAAAGTAAAATAAATTCATGTACAATAAAGTAAAAAATGAAATATAAAGGAATAAAATAAAGCAAAATAAAACATGCAATAATATAAACTAAATTTAACGTCAATCAAAAAATTTCAATCGTTTCGATTGAGACATTTCGAAATGGTATCGTTACAGCAGTTATCAGAATACATTTTTTCAATTACCCCGGAACTCTAAATCGTTAACAGATAATGTTTACTTTTCATCATCTTCGTCATCATCAAACCAACAGGCCTATTCTCACTGTTACCAGTAAAGTAAATTTTGTTACCATTTCGTATTCTGAGCTCACTGTTACCCCGTAAATTTTGTTACCAGCGAAATAGGAATGGTAAATTTTGTTCCCTCGACAGAATAGGCCTATAAAAAAAATTAAATTGGTTGCGGAACATTGGAAAATTTCACAGAATTTTTGAACTATAAACAGCACCATAAAGGCAACGACTTTAGGTAATACAACACTGTGTTTAAACATTGTTCCACAAACATGCAATTCCGATGCCCGAAAAAATATATTGAAAATTGGTAATTGTGAGAATGTAAAAATATATGCATCTATTCGTTTTTAAAAGTAATATAGTCTCAGTTTTTATTTTGAAAATTGTTTATTATAATATATGTAAATTTTACATATTGATTATCTACATCGATAATATATACACACAATTAGAATATCAGCTACAGCTTTGCTTTGGGCATTTATTTTTGAATTTAATAACTATTTACATATTTTTTTTTGCATAAATATTGTACTTAAAATTATTTATAATATTTTTTTTTTTAATATTTTTATTTATAAAAGAAATCCTTAAGCTTACATACTGCTACTTTATCGATAATAATATAATTACTATAAAATAATATTTAAAAAAATTGAGTTTCCTTATGTACATATAAGGAATAATACATTTTTATAAATTTTCATGCATACATATATAGAGAGAAATAAATTTCAGTTTTACATTTAGATATTCTTAAAATAATATTTTTTTCCAATTTCATCACACGTTTGCTTAAAACTGAAGACGTCTGCGAACCCTTCCGAAACGCCGCCAATCACGCAATCCAAGTTTACACATTTCAAGTCGAAGTCTGCCCAAAGGGTGTTTGCCTTTGGGCGTCTCCCAATAATCAGCTGTTGATAAATTTTCAGCATGTGCCAGCAAACGATTTATATAAATGAAATCAGATTCTTTTAATCCTGTTGTGTGTGTCGGCTGAGCGGTATCGTCTGAGAAAATCTTCACTTGCAGCAAATAGAAGCGATAAACGGCGAAAAAAGTATAAATGCAAAACTTCAAGAGTAAGGCTATCACCGAAATTTTCAATGCGAGATAAATCAAAGCGTTTATATTTTCCATCTTTGTTTTTTTTTTCTAACGTATTTTTGGAATTCGTTTTGAAATTTAGTAGTGACACAATGAACTCTGTACGTCAACTGAAATTCCACCGAATTGCGAGGATCTTTTATAATGCATTTTCAGGTTATTTTGAAGAAACTAAAATATTGCCTGCGCATACATACGTATTTATGTATATAATACATACTAATTATATTTTTCATCTATATATATTTTTATTTGTTTACATCTGTTTATTTTCGCGTATGCTTGTTTGTAAGCCAGTAGTGTAGGCAGGCAGGCATTGTTGTTGCTGCATGTTGTAAGCGATTACTGCAGTAGCGTTAGGTACATACTACATACATATTTATGTATGCATACATACATACATAACTATTGTATCGATATGTGTTTTACAAAAACAAACTTTGTGGCATTGGATTCTGCATTGAAATGATAATAATGAGATAAAATGGCTTAAGCCACTAAATACATATGAATGTATGTACATATGCATGTATGTGTGTAAACATGTGTGTGTGCAAACAAAGCTGAACATGTTTGTTATTCGTAAATTTTCGCAAAATAACGCTTTGAGAAAATCTTCTTATGTATGTATGTATGCATGTACATATGTATGCACGTTTGCATGTCCAGACATGTTTAATATATTTTTTGTAGCATTTGTAGAATTTCATTTTTCGAAAACTGTTCGAAAAGAAAAATATGTAAATATTCAAGTAAATTTCAAACCAAATAATTTATTAAATATATTTGTTTATCAAATAAAACTGAACTTGGTGACTTGATGATCATTTTGGATCCTACATACATAGGTATATATGTATGTATGTATGCATGTATGTATGTAAGTACGCTTCGGTCTTGAAATCTGCTATAATAGCCAATCTAGACATTTTACGTGCCTCACAGCCGCTCCCCCAACTGGAAAAGGGATGTCCCTACGGATCCCATTGTGTTGAGGAGGCGACTAAAACCCAAAATTTCCCGCAAACGTCGGGTATTTATACCGGAACGACTCATATTTGTATCCGGCCAAGGGCTGGCACTCTTTTCAAATTCGTTTATAGCAGTCAATACGGGCAACTTTGTATAACAGCGGGCAATCAGCTGTGGAAACAAGTCAAATCGGCGCTGGGTTTTACGAAACAAACAACAGTAATGATATCGGCAAGTGGTGGTATAGCGCTCTCATAAGATAGTCTGTGACAGCAGGATCGATATAATTCTGGCTAGTTCGGCTGGCTGCCCTTCCGATAGCCAGTGCCACTCTGTTTTTCTGTGCGCAAATGCGCTTTACTCTTTAACTCTTGCTATAATTTTCGTTCGATCTCAACGTTGCCGGATGCGGTTATACTCTTCATATCAACATTTCTAACGATCTTGTCGGAAATTAATCTTTTCTGTAGTACTTCCACGTAGAAAGATAGCAATGACGACCATAATTCCCTTATATCGAGGTGTTAAAGAACAAATATACACGAGGAGTAGAAAACCCTTTGACTGTCTTTTATGAATGCAGGTCTGATTGTTAGGTACTGGAACATTGGAGACATGTCGTGATTTTATCGCAAGATGATCGATTTAATTAAGATGTTTCGTTGTCAAACGGAGTGGCGTTGCTTCATAATTGAGATAGAATTTTCTGACTGTTGTGATGCAGATAACCACAGCGAGACAATGACAAGTTTCCCATTAAGATACTTTAAATTCTTGGTGTCCTCGTTCAAGCAGATTTTCTTACAACCCAAGGCATAATATCGCACTTCTTAAAACATACGCGCTTCAATAATATGAAAACTGATTTTTTTGTAACTTTATTGTAGACCGTCTCTAGGCCACTCTATTTGGAGTGTCTTTATTTAAGTATAATATTTTATCTCTAAGAAGCCGCGGATTCTCACACTATTCTTAAGACTTGCAAAAATTATTAGTAAAGTAACTCAGTATTTAATAGCTTACTTACGTTCAGAGTGCCCATAAAATTTTTTTTAAAATAAACTTCAGCGAGGGAATTTACTTTTTAATTGCTCTGGAAATAAATCCGTATTCGTATACCGGATAAGTCAGATATCTCTATTTATTGTAATTATCTTTAAGAACTGAAAAGTCTTGGTACATCATACAAAGGCAGAAATTAATTTTCTATAGCATGAAGTAGTTTGCCTTGATGGATTTGAACATTTTCTTGAAATTCTTCAACCACATACGTGGAGAAAATGATGCAGTATTCTGTTTTGAAACACATTTCATGTGCCAAAAATGTTCTTCCCAGCAAAATGACTGCCTTCAGTATGTATGAATGCAACAATTTATTTTTTAAATTTTCGTTATATTTTTTTATTATTTATAAACTGCTTAACATGACTATAAGAAGAATAGGCTCACGACAGTGCACAAACTCAAACAACTACTGCTCACCCTCACATGCAGTCATAAATTAAAGTTTAATAATACAAAAGATATTTTAATTGTTAATAATATATTACAGCATTTAACAAATAACTTTAACAAAATAGTATTCAATAAAACAAAATAAATATAGTGAAATATATAAAATAATATTGAATAAACTAAGCAAAAAATTAAATTAATAATAAAGTTAAATAAAAAAATATAAAAATTAATAAAAGGAAAGAAAATACAATACAATAAAATAAATAAAATAAAATAATAAAAAAAGAAATAAAATGAAGTAAAATAAGAAAAATAGAATAACACAATATAAACATAAATAACAAACAAAATAAAAAAAAAAACTTAACAGAATTAAAAAATAAAANTAAAAAAATAAAATAAAATAAAATTAAATAAAAAAAAAAAATAAAATAAAAAAAATAAAATAAAATAAAATAAAATAAAACAAAATAAAATAAAACAAAATAAAATAAAATAAAATTAAATTAAATTAAATTAAATAAAACGAAATAAAATAAAATTAAATTAAAATAGAAATATATTAAAAAAATAAAATTAATTTGAATTACATAAATAGAATAACATAAAATAAGAAAAAGTTAAATAAATAAAATAACAAGAAATAAAATAGCATAAAATAAACAGAAATAAAAAATAAAATAAATAGAATAAAACAAAATATAATTAAATTAAAACATTTTAAATTGAAATAAATTAAATTAAAATAAATAAAATAAAATTAATTGAATTAAAATGAAACGAAATAAAATAATATAAACTTAAATTAAAGAAAGCAAAATTAGATAAAATAAAATAAAATAAAATTAACATAAATAAAAACAAATTAAATTATATTAAATAGAATAAAAAAAATTAAATCTAATGAAATCAAAGGAAGTAAAACGAAATGAAATCAAATAAAATAAGATGAAAATTAACATAAAATAAATTGAAAAATAAAATTAAAATCCGTAAAAGGATAAAATGCAATAAATTAAAATATTCTGAAGAAGCAAAAAAAATAAAATAAAGTGTTGCAAAAAATAGAAGGAAAATTAAATAAAAGCAAAAAAAAAATCTAAACTGACGAAATTAAATTAAAAATAAATGAAATTAAATATAATAAAGTATAATAAGATAAATCAAATAAAAAATAAAATAAAATTATTCACTGAGCAAAATTTAAACAAAATTAAATTGAAATAAGAATGAATGAATTAAAATAATAACAATACATTTAATAATACAACATAACTGAATTAAATTTGAAGCACTCACTTGTGATGGCTGCAATGTATCAATATCATTTAGTGGTATTTGTTTATATGCGGCATGTGAAGATGACAACGACACCTTAGCGGCATCCGAGGGCGATGATGGCGATGGCGACGGTGTATTCGATTGCCTTGAACTCGATGGAAACGCGGCCGAATCAGGTGCCATTGAAACAGCGCCATCCGGTTGAGTGGGCGAAGTTGTGGCGGCGGCCGTCATTCTCGACGGCATTCCCACAGCATCCACTACATGCGTCAGTAGTAAAGTTTTAATTAGAAGAAGAAGAAGATACATATTTGCACATACACTATCACTATTTGTATAACACACATTAACCTACCTGACGGTTTGGGCGGTAATGCAGGTGGTGTACCGCCGTTATTAAGGCTGCGGAATATGGCGCTGTTCTCTGGTATGTTCTGATACGTCGGTTGAGTCTTTGGCGGCGGCGTCGGAGCTGTGGTCACGATTTGTACTTTTGGATATTGATTGTCGATGAGTAGGCGTGACGATGTGGTGGTGGGTGACGTAAATTGTTGTTGTTGTGGTTGTTGGGCGACCGGGTCTTGAGCGTAACCGTTTAAGCCGAAAAATTTCGATTTAGCATCATTCAATGCAGCTTTCACCGCAGCTATACTCTGACTGGCTTCGTAAAGTTCCGATTGCGAGTGTTGACTAAGCGGTCTTTGTGTTGGACTTGCATTCCTAACCGCTGCATATGCAGTGGCTGAAGACGATAGCGGCGCTGCTGATGTTGACGATGCTAGAGCCGGAGGCGGAACGGAGGCTGGTGCTGGTGCTGGTGCTGGTACAGGAGCTGGCATTGTGATTGACGTGTTCGGTTGTATTAACCGTTGATTCTTGCTATTAGTATATTTGCTATTGTTGTTCTTGTTGATATTCTCGGGTGTTGCTAGTGTTGTATTTGTTGGAAAATGCAATGCTGACGCTGTTGTTGTGTGATCAGTGAAGTTTGACGCCACCAACGGTTGTTGTTGCTGCGTCGACTGTGGTTGGTTTTGCCGACTCAAGCACGGAAGCGTTTGCTGTTGTTGTTGCTGGCGTTGCTGTTGTAAAAGCGGTTGTTGTGACTGTTGTTGATCTGTCAGTAGCTGATTGTCATTAAACTTGAATGTGATATCGGCGTAAATGGGTGAGCTAGTTGCACCATTCGCTGCGATCGCCGAAGTTGTCGCTCCGCTGCGTACGACAGCAGCTGTTGGTGTTGACTCTGCTGACTTAACAATACCCACGGCTTTCGGCGTACTCGTATGTATTGCTCTGTTGTCGTTTGTCGTTTTCAAATTGTCGTAGACACTCGCTGGCCTGTCGTCATACACTTCCATATTGTGCGCCGATGTGTGCACGAACGTATTGGCCCGCTTCAATCAGGTGGTTCTCATTTAAGCCGGCCCTCTATACCTATATATCTATGGGCTTGTACGTGTATGTGATTTGGTTTACTCTCTCGTCTCGTCTCTTGGCTTGCGTGTGTATGTAAGTAAGTATTAATATGTAGTTTATATCGTTATTTTTTGTATCTACTAATTATCTCAGCTCATTGAAGTGCACTGAGCTGTGAAGCTCAAAACAATTGTCGTGTGTGGTTTGTGTGTGTTGGGTTGTTCAACAGCTGAAATGGGGAAATAACAAAAAGCTATTAAATTGATTATATTTTTATATTTACAGCGAAACATGAATTATTCTTATAAATAATATAATTGGTTTGTTCTAAAAACAAAAAAAAAAAAAAAAAAAAAAAAAAAAAAAAAAAAAAAAAAAAAAACAGTAAAGCCTTGTGTATGACACGCTCTCACCTACAAACAAACATTCATTCGGTACAAGCACACCTGGAAGCAAGCTTTGACGAATTGATTTAATTATTTTCACCAAATAAATCACATTTAGAGCCGTTGTCTAAGTGTAAAAATACATTAACTACAAATTGAAAGATTTTATAAAAAAAAATGTAATAAAAAATTATAAAATAAAAATGGGAGAAATTTTTCGAAACAAAAAAATTTTATACGGTTTTTAATTTTTAAATAACGACGGAAGGCTAAAAAAGAAGTTATCAATAATTTGCTTAAGAGTTTTGAAGAAAAAGAGATTTTGGACAATTGGACTTAAACGTGCTGACGATGGCTGGTTGTTTTTAAATATCTACCTCGCATCGCGCTGAGACTCCTCCGCCGACCTCGAATAAGTTGAAATTTTGAGATCTTCCTACTGTGGCAACCGAAGCAAGACTGAGACTGAGCTTCAAAGATAAAGACAGTAAATAGATATAAGAAGGCTTTCATCGCACTCTGTCCATGTAAAAATGCTACTAGTAAGAGTTGGTTCCCAAGTCCTAAGATCTATAACTGGATTTATGTATCAATATTAATACTTTTCAATAGAGTGGTTGTACTGTAATATGCGGTGAATATAAGGACAAACGTTCATATCAGACATAAAATCTATAGACCCATGCTGATCGTGAGGGGTAGTATCCGTGGAAAATGTAATCCGCAACACCAGTTCGTGGGTTATTGGAACGATCCTTCTATCAAGAGAGTAAAATCAGATAATAAATGAATCGCCGAGTTCAGGGGCTTATATTGCTGTTGTTGTAGCGGTCATTTGAAGGCTCGTTTAGGAAACGAGCTATTTCGACGTGGAAGGGACCCCTTAGAGGTGGTTAGTGCCGTGCAGGTTACATGAACTTCAATATCTTGGAGTCCAATATTTGGAAGCGATATTCATGAGAATGTTAAGTTGGTTAGGTTAATTTAAACTCATTGCTATAACGCCTTCCATAGACCTGCTGGCCCTTTGTAGAGCTAAACAGAGATCCCGTTTAATTTTATGTTAAGTAGTCGTCGTGTAGAACCTTAAAATTTTCAACGAAGCTTAAGAGATCTTGCAAATTGAATTTTCTTCTAGTCATTTGAACTGATGAAAAATGTTCAAGAGAAACTCAACATAAGGCCGAACAACCATTCAAATCGTGACCAGTACCAGGTAGTAGTTGCCAAATAGGCAATGTAGGTATGTTTTCTTTCTTTACTTTGCACATAAACTTGACGGTCTTATATACCGTTAAGGCTTCCCATCAGCCAAAGCTCTCGGAAATACCATTGTACAGCTCTTTTGCTCTGTTCCTATTTCCTCATCAAATATTTGATTTCCCACCATTGCCTTGTGTTCTGGAACTCAGTATGTATGAAACTGGTATTCTATAGCCATCTTTACCTAGAGTCCTCCTGTTTCTAAGAACATTTTATTACTAATTATGATGCAAGGTTATTGCCTCAAATGTCGAGGTAAATAAACCGAATAAATGTTTGGAGGAATCGAAACGGTTGGACAGTGAAGCTTGGTGAACTGCTCAGCCAATTTGTAGCACAAAGCAACAACCGAGTAAAAAAGTAGTAAGCACACCCAAAGAGCCCACACTGTGCTGTTACTTAATCTAATTTCAAGAGTCTTCAAAGGTGCTCAAACACAGTATCTTTGCTCCCTTCATTTTACAGGTTTTTCTCAACTTTATGAATGGCTTGAGATAATTTGTTGATACTCTGAGTCTCTGAGTATTTTGCTCATGGATGACGACTTCTACGAAACTCCATGATTACAGTCATCTTCCCTTAGAGATTGGCTTTAGGCAAAGAATTTTAAGCAAAGCGATTTTTGATATGAAAAAAGTGGCTTATGAAAAGTCATCAGCCAAGCGGAAGCTTCTTCAAACCGAAGTTCCTCTCTTAGTAACAAAATTATGAAGACGGACCCAAAAATAGTGAGAGGAGGAGGCCTTTCCATTCAGTCGAAAACTTTTTTTTTTAAACAACGAGAAAAATTAATTACATATATCAATCAAAAAATAAATATTTTTTTAGATATTTTGAAGGGAGCAAAAAATATATTTTTCATAAAAAATAAATTATGCAAAGCATAAATGATTTCAGTGAATTTTTTTCCCCCAATTATTTATGAATATTTTCCAAATTTTTGAGTTTTTCATTTATTTTGACTGACCAAATGCTACTCAATGAAATCTGTCTATTTTTCTGACACACTTTTTCAAATCATCAAACACATTAAATATTTGGCGCAAATGAGCATGTGAAAAAATATTTGTTCATACATACGTACATATAAAAAATCAAAAAAAAAAAATCTGTTAGTTATTTGGAACACCCAAAAAATATTTCCAGCATGTCGCTCTTAAAATTAACATACACACATACATACATACAAATATGTAAGCACACAAATAAATAGGCAGCATAGTTTCCATATAAAATAAGTGTATGTAGAACGGCCAGAAATATTTTGTATAAGTTTTCAAAAAATATGTGAAAAACATGATTTTTATTAAAATGAAAAACCCATTTACAGCAACAAAAAAACACAAAACAATAATTTATATGAATTTTAATTAATTCCGGCGGAAAATTGTGGCTGCAAACGGACAAATATGGTTGTGGTAAGTCAACCGAGTGCCAAGAAAATATGTAAACATTATCTAATTGTTTACTACATACAGCATCTAGTATAATAGTGGCATCCATATACTTATGTATGTGTGTGCTGCTGTGCATAAATGTAAACAAACTTATCTTCATTTCTAAAATAAACACATTTGCGATTGTAAATATATCAGCATAAGAAAGGCATGTACAGATTTATATTTCATTTTAGAAACACATTTCCTATAGGGCCATTAGCCTGTAACAATGTAAAATTGCCAAACATATGTTATTGGTTGTATGCGCTAAATTTAAGTGGCACTTGCCAATTGCTTTATAAAAACAGGCTAAACAAAAATGTGCCGCTAATTAAATAATTGGTAAATAAACTAAAAAAAATATTTCTTTTAGAAATTTATCTTCGATTGCCCAATGGCAACCAATACTCATTGTTGGGAATTTACTGAATTGAACTTGTTGACCTTAAAGCACTTTCTTTTAGGTGTTTGTGAATCACCCATGGATGTACATACATACATTTACGTACTAAAATACCTATGCATGTTAAAGGGCGGATGTATCAGAAAATGTGTTGGGGCATTTTCTAAAATTACTTGTAATTTTATTTTATTTTGTTTTATTCTATTTTCTTTTCTTGTATTTTCGTATATTTTATTGTACTTGATTTTATTTTATTTCATTTTGTTTAATTTTTTTTTTCATTATAATTTTTCTTAGATTTTTTTCGTTTATTTTCTTTATTTTATTTCATTTTCATTTCATTTTATTTAATGTTATTTTATTTTGCTCTATTTAATTTATTTTAATTTAATCTCATTTTATTTTACTTTATATTATTTATTTGTTTTTATTTAAACTAGTTTCATTATTAATTTTAGTTTGCTTCACCTTACTTTATTTTACATTAATTTAGTTTAAATTTATATTATTTTATTTTATTTTATTTTGGCTATATATTTTATTTTTTCTTTATATTGCTCCATTTATGTTTTTCGTTTTTTATTTATTTTTTTTTTTAATTTTTTTTAGTATGATTTATTTTGTTAATAAATTTTTTATTTAATGTAAATTTATTTGATATAATTTACTTTCTTAAGCTTGTTTTTATTAATCATGTTTCATTTTATTTTGCTTTATTTATTTCCTTATTTTAATATTTTTTATTTTATTGCAAATTATTTAATTTTATTTAATAATAATTTATGTAATTTAGTTCAAGTTTATTTTAATTTAATTTATATTATATTGTTATACTTTTATTTTAAATGTTGCTTTTTCGTTTATTTTATTACTTTAACTAATATCTGTTTTAAATTTTTTTGGTTTTTTTTTATATTAAAACTTGCCCGCGGGCCATATTGATTTCAATGCGTTTACTTTTATTTTATTTTATATTATTTTATTTTATTTTTCTCTTGTTTTATTTTATTTTATTTTCTTATATTTCTTATGGTATTTGATTTGATAATTAANTGCAAATAGTTGTAGCATAATAGAATGCATGTTGCATGCCCGATACATGTGCAACAGATGTGTGCTTTTAAAGACATTGCATGCAATACAATCGCTTTGGAGACTAAGCAAGGCGCTAAAATGACGGAAAATCATTCAACACTCCAACCGGGCTTAGCTATTGTAGGAATTAAGTATAATGGGGGAAAAAAAATAAAATATAATTTAAAGCAAATTTTTAACAAACAGAGCACTCAGCTTAGCTTACATAGAATGCACGAACATACGCTACAATGACTCTTTTTAGTAGCCGCTTATATTATTTTATTTATTTTTTTTTTTTTAATTTCATTTAATTCAATTTAATTTGATTTTTTTATTTCACTATTGCCAGCGAACCATCTTAATGTAATATAAATTTATTTGAAATAGTTTACAAATTTATTTTATTTATAGGTTTATTTGTGTTTATGTTTTTAGTGTGTGCTTTTGTTTTTGTGTACATGGGCCTTGAAGCTTTGTAAAATCAGAAAATTGTGATTGGCGCCAAAGAGCTTAGTGAAAGTTGTAGACGTAAAAAGTTGTATGCTTTTATGCGAAAATATTTTTTTTATAAATATCATTTAGAAGAACAGATGGCTGAGGGATTTATAATTTTACATATATAATTTTTTAAATTAACATTTTTTATCTTTGAAAAGACAAG